CACCTCCACAACATGAATAAACGTGATGATACCTCCCACCTACCAGACATCTGGAAACCAGCCCTTGTCAACAAACGAGCCCCACCCCCCACCCAGACCGTTACAACACAAAACAACAATGGACACACTGCCAGCACCAATCAGCACCAATCTACCAATCATGATACGGCCACGCATCCAATCAATCCACTTACTGAAACAACGCCTGCACTCTACACACCCTCCCCAAGATTTATAGAAAGACGGCAGCTCCGATCACACTTTAAGCCGAAAACACCCTCCTGAAATTTTGCCAAGACAATCTCAATCTTACACGGGAAAAGACCCGAATACAACAAGACCAGCATACCTACACCTGTGAAAATCTACGAAAACGTGTGTGTTTGTGTGTGTGTGTGTGTACTCTGAAAAATATGGTAATTGGATCCCAGTTCCATATTGATTTAGGAAGGGTAAATATATTACATTTATCTCCAAATGCAAATTGATCAAGATTCCCTTCCATCTCTAATCTCCAGGGATATTTTTAGGTTGAAGTGCAGCTTTCTTAAATGGAAAAGGGCATTTTGTGTATTCTTGCATCCTGGGTGCTTATTCATATATCATTGCTCCTGAGATATGAACTCCTGAGATATATCTTTTATGAATGTTATTTGTCACCTTGTTGCACAAGTTCAATGCTTCATTCCTTACGCATTTTCCTGTATGATTTGCAAGGTACATTAACCAGAAATAGCAGTGATATTCCATTTCTTTAATGCTTTCAAAACTCCCTTAGGAAGCATGGAATCATATACCACAAGCAGAGATAAGGAAGCTTGCTCATGTTCTCATAAGTCAACCTGCCCTGGATTTTTGCTTCTTTTGAACTCTACAATCTACATTTCTGATCTGTGATTATTATTTTTTGTTTCTGCACCTTAAAGCTTCAAGCAACCCTGGATATTTGTTTATAAACTATGAAGTCCAGATTAGTAAATTAAAAAATTTTAAAACAGAAAATTAGAAATGCCTTACTAGATAATAACAACTCTTCAAAGAAGCAAAGACTGTCCTTTTTTTTATTTTACCCTGCATGCTCTATTCCTTTTTTCCCCTTCCCAGTTAAAATATACCTTTGGAAAAATTCAGTGTTAATGCACACATAGTAATTCACTCATTTTCTCCTGGAAAATAACCACTGCTGACTGCCTCCAGCAGCACTGGCAGAGAATTTTGCAGAACGAAAATGCCCTGAGTTAGAATCAGAAAGGATTGATAAGTAGGGTACTAATCTCTTCTGGCTTCCTTTCATGCATCCCTACTGGTAGAAAAAGTCTCATCAAGCTGACTTTTCATCTCTAACATGACACTTCAAGACACAGTATGATCTTCAATGCTTTACAGCTTGAAACATTTGGCTTACAACAGCAAGGCTATTATTTCCTTAACATAGGAATATCTTATAGTGTATCTGTAGATAGTTCAAGCCAAATGGTTGGTCGTGGCGAGCATGAAATAAAAAAATGTATTATACGTGAATTCCTGCTGACTGATTGTGATTTTTCAAAACTCCTGCTGGTGCTGGAAGACTGGATAAGAGCAACCAATATCCAAAATGGTAGAGGGAACACCTGAGAAATATGCACCTATTATTTAGCATTTCTGCTGAATAAATTGTCAGTCAGTGTAGCTATGAGCATTTAAAAAAAGAAAGTTACCATTACCAGGAGCTAATTGTGATTGTTAGTTGTGTGTTGTCTTTCTATTCCAAGTTGAAGTTGTATTCAATTCAACTCTGGGAGTTGAAGTCCACATATCTTCAAATTGCCAAGGTAGAGAAATAATGGTCTGGTTTTTCCTCTATTCATGAAACACGAATAGTTTAAAAGACTGAGGATGCAATGTAGATGTAATATACTTTGATCCTGGAAAAGCATTTGTCAAGGATGCTCATGATATTTTTTGTGGACAGAAAGGATAAATGTGGGCCAGATGATACTGTGGTCTGTTAGATTTGTAACTGGTTGAACAATTACACCCAAAGGGAGTTTGTGAGTAGTTCTGTATTATTCTGGTGGGAAGGATTACATGAAATTCCCCAGGACTCTATCCTTGGCCTCTATCCAAGAGCCGAGGTGGCGCAGTGGTTAAATGCAGCACTGCAGGCTACTGCTAGATCAGCAGTTCAGCGGTTCAAATCTCACCGGCTCAGGGTTGACTCAGCCTTCCATCCTTCCGAGGTGGGTAAAATGAGGACCCAGATTGTTGGGGGCAATATGCTGACTCTCTGTAAACCGCTTAGAGAGGGCTGAAAGCCCTATGAAGCGGTATATAAGTCTACTGCTATTGCTATTATTGCTTCTGCTACTCAGTATCAGTGGTGGGTTTCAAAATTTTTTAGAACCTCTTCTGTAGGTGTGGCCTGCTTTGTGGGAGTGGCTTGCTGGCCATGTGACCAGATGGGAGTGGCTTGCTAGCCATGTAACTGGGTGGGCGTGGCCAACTTGTAAAATGTGGTGAAACTCACTTAACAATGCTCTTACTTAGCAACCCAAATGTTGGCTTAGAAACTCTAGCATTTGAAGCACGCAAGCCTTGAGCTGTCAAGTTACAAGACCCTTGCACCCCTAAACCTTTAAAAAAAAAACCCAGAGTGTTCAAAGACTTGTGGACTTCAACTCCCAGAATTCCTCCTCTTGCTCTTCATCTTGATGATGTGTGGATGGGCAGGGGGAGGGAGCTGCAACTGGTTCTAAACGGCACTGTAGATTTATGGAACCTCTTCTATAGAAGAGGTTAGAACTGGCAGGAACCCACCCCTGCTCAGTATCTAGATAAATAGCCTAGAAATGCAGGGGAAGGCATACTTATCAAATCTGTAGATGATATGGAGCTAATTGAGAAATACCTCAGAACACAAAATCACAGCTAGTTTGATAAGATTGAGCATTGGACCTAACCCATAAGATGATGTTGAACTGGGTAAATAGGTAAGAAATTAGGGAGACTTGATTTAGCAGCAATGTACAGAGGATTTAGGAGTGCTCCAGAAGCGATTTGTCTACATTAGGAAAGAAATATGCATAAGAAGCACAGCACAGGAAATTTTACATAAAATCCACACATTCTTGCAAGTCAAAATGCAACTTATAGAAGAATCAGGGGATATTTTAGCAAGTGAAATAAGTTTATTGTATTTATGAAATGCCAATCCTAACAAGATTTTTGTGTTTGTGTTCACAGAGCAGGAGTGATGCTTTAATAAATGCATGAAGTTGTTTATATTTTCCTAATTCACAAAAGTAGCTAGTTCCACTATAATCCTAAGGGCCTGGATTGATTTAAATGCCAGGAAGTGAAAAAGTGTAGTGGATAATTTATGTACTATGAAAATGACAAACTGTAACTCTACTATAAAGAGTTCAGTTTAACATGCTTCAGTGCATATTCCAGAGACTGATGGGAAAAGAAAATACCCAAGTACCAAAGTCTATGAGTAAAAAGTCTTAGTTGTAGGTGCAGAATCCTTATTGATGCCAAACTTTCCCAGATTTTTCAAACCTTGAAAAAGGTTATAGTCTTTTCAATTACACACTGGATTAGAATTTATTTCAGTGATGAGCCTCAGTCTTTCTTTTTTCCATTTCCTATTGGGACAATTGCAAACTGTTTATGTTTAGTACTTTACTGTGCCACTTTCCCATACAACTTCTTAAAATTGCTCTGTTAGCTCAGCAGCAATGCTGTTAGACAATGTGTTTTCTGCTTCTAATTCCAAGGATGTAGCCACAATGCAGTTCTGTGCCAACAAGCTGGACAAGAAAGACTTCTTTGGGAAATCAGACCCTTTCATGGTATTCTTCAGAAGTAATGAAGATGGAACGTGAGTAGAAGTTTTTTTCTTCTTCCTAGGAGTAGATTTGCTTCAATTTTAACTGGCTCCTCACTAGCACACAGTGAAATTTTCCATTGATACTTTGTTGGTCATTCTGGAATTTTGTTTGTGATTTCAAATACCAGTCAGATCCAACAGGCTTCGTTGAAGTCAATCAGTGTAGCTGGTTGCTGCTTCCTGCTCAGGCTTTCTTAGTAAGCAAACTTACTTTTAAACTTTCAAAGTTTAAAACTTTTAAAAGCTTCATATAAAGAACTTGTTCAGGCTAATGTCTGTCATGGACAGGGCTATTGTAACCCCCACCATGCTCCACTTTTGGTTACAGAAGGCTTTAGGGAGGGCCTCTGGAGACTGGGGGAGACCATTTTGCTCTTCCAAAGGCTCAAGGAAATTCTCTGGAGCCTGGGAAGGGCGAAAAACAGGCCTACTGGAATTACCGGAAGTCTGGAAACTGGACTGTTTCTGGCCGCCGAAGGGCCTCTGGACCCCAGGGGAAGCCATTTTCGCCCTCCCAGAGGCTTGAGAAACGCCTCCAAAGCCTGGGGAGAGTGAAAACATATTCTTCCTACCGTGATGCAGGACGCCGAGTTAGGGGGGGGGGGTCCTGCACGCATCCACAGGAGGGCGGGCACATCGCATTGTGGGTTTGGGCACACACATGCGATAGTGCATGCACACGTGATAGCGCACACAAGCACAATTTCAGCACGTGAGGAGAAAGGGGTTAGCCATCACTGCTATAGGATGTGGTTTTAAAAAATCAAGATGATGGCTATGATTGTGTGATTTAAGCTTTACATGTTCTGATGTGTGATCATACTATGATGGCCACCATGTCAATTGGACATACCTTTCTTGTGAGTTGGAAAGATTTTTTTGGACCATTTCAAGTAAAAAACTGCTTTGATTAATTTTTTAACTGATATACAGGAGAAAGTAAAAAGGCTCAAGTATGCTAAGTTTTCAACTTTCAGGATCATTTTAAAAGATGATTTATGAATATTCCTGATGTTCTTCACTAAGCCAGCAAGATGTGAAATGAGATGTTGTGTTTAATAGAAAAGGGTCTGGGCAAAAGTTAACTAACAAAAAGACAATTCCCAACTGACCATTCTGAACAATTAAATAGGTAAATGAAAGTCAGATCTCCTTGAAATTGAGAACATTTTCCTCCATTTTCAAACTGCAAGGCTGGTGCTGAAAAAAAATATTGCTTTGCATCCAAATTCAAACCCTAATATATTTTTTTATGTGAGCAGGGTGGAGATCCATATTCCCAAAATCAAAATCTGATAGGTTGAGTAGACTGGAGCTTAGATAGGCTACCGCTGTGCTAGGCCAACTCTTTCTCATTGAAATGTCCCAGCCAAATTACAGCAAGGATGGTCAGAATGCTAGATTTGAATAATTCATGTCTATGAGTCATGTAGCCTTAATTATCAGAGGATCTTTGCAAAAGGATCACTTTAAATCTGTAGCAAGAATCTGTCCTTCTTCCAACAGTAGCAGGGGTGGGTTTCAACCAGTTCGCGGCGGTCCCTGCAAACCGGTTGGTCGGCGAACCCGGAAGTAAGTAACTTCCGGGAACGGCGACTGGCCCACCCGCCCGCCCGCACTCCTTACCCGGTTTTGACGAGTTCTGCGCTTCCACACATGCGCAGGCTGCATACAGCGCCTGCGCGATCCTCCAGGAGCAGCTGGAGCATCGCACAGACGCTAGTACACATGCGTGCACTGTGCGCGTGCACGAGGACGCTGCCGGCCTTGTTCCAACCGAACCGGTTGGAACGGGGCGAGAAACCCACCCCTGAACAGTAGGTTGGGTGGGAGCAAGGATAGACATCATGGGAAGTTGAGCTAATAGAAAAAGGGAAGAAAAGAGTGATTTGCCCAATTTTAGCTCTGCTCATTACTGGAACATGGCTCCCAGCAGATTATTTCTTTAAAACACAGGGCCTGCCTGGAAAAAAAAATCCTCCCTTCCTTGTTTGAGAGAATATGAGCTTCTCCTTTCTAGAGACATTGCCATATCTTGCTGGTTATTGCTTATTGCTGGTTTCCAATATAGTTTGTTCTGCTTTCAGCAAGTTTGCTCTCTGTGGGAATGGATATTGCACTACTTGTTCTAATAAAAGTATAATTTTAATAGATAATATTTATATCCTCTGTGAAAAATGTTAGCTAATATTGCATGAGGTTGGGGCTTATTTCTGCTGCAAGTGCTTGGAGAATGCCAGTGTTTACAGCTATTAAAGTAATCCATTTTTATCTTGATCCAACCCAGTGCCAATTTTCATCGTCCATGGTGATTTGGAGAAGCATATTTCAAAAACAAAAAGAATCAGATTTTTTTTGCTTCTCTGTTGTTGTCTAACCCAAGGCATTCTTCAGTTTCTGAGAATTAACCTATAACTAAACAGACATTCTGTATCTTGCTAGATTTACCATTTGTCATAAAACTGAAGTAGTGAAGAACACTCTGAATCCAGTATGGCAGTCATTCGCTATCCCTGTGCGAGCCTTGTGTAATGGAGACTATGACAGGTACAAGTTTTACAGAATTTGTGTTAACATCTGGCATGATTTGTTCATTAAAAGTGGTTAGAACTGATGTCCACCAAATTACCATCACAGTTGTTAGTTCCTAGGATAGGCTGGAGGTTTAAGAATTGTAATCCCAACATACCTAGTGGGACCAGTTTGGCAAAGATCAGGTTAGAAGAAATGAATTACAACCCCCCTCAGTTTAGCTTATATCCCTAGATTTTCCAGATGTTCCTCAGCTATCTGGAACAAACTAGAGCCAGCTGTGTTTAGACTTCTAGATCAGCCAAAGTCAGCTAAGTCTTGCCATCTATTTTTAGATGAAAATTCAAGTCTGTCATGCATGCCCAAAATGTACTACAGTCACGTATAAGCACTCATTAGCAAACTTGGACAACTTAAAAATCCACAAAGAAAGGTATTGAGGACTCAGAAAGTCCTTGACTTACGACCTGGCGGCTAGCAACCAGCCAAACCGCACCCTGATTGGCTAAGGCACAGCTTGGCTGAGCGCGGACCGCCAGGGGTGCGCTCATTGGCTTTCCCTGCTTGACAGCTCCATATAAATAGCTGTCAAGCAGGGAAGATGCTGAATCGCCTGTAAATAGTTACCTTAAATAAACCGTTCTCGTTCTGGCAGTTCTGGCTCCAGTCTCGTCCTTCCGCCGATCCACCAAACTGGTGACGAAGGTGGGATCACGGTGATTCCAGTGATCGGTGCCTAGGACGAACAAGAAGACCATCAGCCGCGAAGCCCCACAATCCGCGGAGCTTCCATCGGCTCTTCATTCCGCAAATTTTTACTTCACCTCACGCTTCTCAACCTAGAGATGGCAGCTCTGCCACCATTCGCCCCGTTCTGAACCTCCGGCGAGTCGTGGGCCGGGTTCCTCGAGCACTTTGAGTGCTACCCCATAGTCTCAAAAAATCACAACCTGCCTCTGGAGGAGAAGTGCAGTTTCTTCCTCAGCTACTGTGGCCTGGCTATGTTCACCTCAGCAAGGGCCCTGGCTTCTCCTCAGCCGGTTTACCAGCTTAACTGGGAGACGCTGATGGCCAAACTGAAAAATCATTACGCTCCCACCCCATCGCAAATCGCCCGCCGCTACGCCTTCTGCCAATGTGTGCAGAAACCGGCGGAATCGGTCAGCCAATTCCTGCAATCATTGCACGTAGCGGCGATTCAATGTGACTTTGGGGACTTGGAAGACAACCTTGTGGAGCAGTTTGTCTGTGGCGTCAAGGACATTCGCCTCAGACACCGTCTCTTAGCGCACCCGGAGATCACCCTGCAGCAGGCCATGGACGAAGCCAGAGCCGCCGAGCTCTCGGAATAGTCCACGGCCGACATGCAGAGGCTTCAGTCTCTCCCTCCTCCTCTCCCTCCTCTGGCTGCTCGTGCCTGTCTCGTCAATGAGCTAGTGCCACTCGATGAGCCCAACTTCGAACAAATGGCCCAGCTCTGTGCTCAGCCTCGGCGTCCTCCGCCTCAGCCAGCCGTTCCTGCCGTGTCTGCTTGTGTGGGCTGCGGAGGCAGGCACAACCGCTCCACTTGCCCCTTCAAGGGCTCCATCTGCCATCATTGCGGCAAGAAAGGCCACCTAGCACAGGTCTGCCGTGCCTCGCTGCCTGCTCCCTCCTTCCTGCAGCTGCCTGCCTCTCCCCAGCCTCAACCACGCCGCCAACCGGATCATCAGCCTTAGTGGCGGGCTGAAGACTGCTACGCAGTGACCCTGCACCTAGGATGAATTTATTAAACCTGGTTGTAGAAAGAATTAATGGGAAGTAAAGAGATTCCTGCAAAGATAGCTTGGATAGGTAAGAATTGTCCCGACTGAGGTTCACTTTATTATAGGTACAGAAGAGCAAAAGATACAGGTTTAATATTTCACATTATATATTTTAAATATTAAACTCAGCAATTTCCATGGCTCCATGAATTTGCACCGAATGTGGCAGAAGCTGTCACATCCCAGAATTTAGTGATACAAAAGACTTTTCCTCCCTTAAGATTTTTAAGGGGGCTTAAAAAAACACTGACAGCCCTCAGAGTTGTTCTAAATTAGGGAGCTGTTATTCTGTCAGCATTAGTGAAAAGACAAAAGGGGGGTGCAGCTGGGAGGGCTCCCTTGGGAAGGCTGTTTCCCCACTTCACAGATGGAACTGAAATGTACTTAGGGAGTGATGAATGGATGGGAATGAACCGAAAAAGTAGAAAAGGTTTGTTGGGAGAAACACTGGCAATAGAATACTACTACATTGATAAAAACTGTCACTGCTATCAGTCCACAGCAAAGGTCTGTTTCAATTCAGAAATTATCTGCTACAATGTCCTACCTGTCAATGACTACTTCAGCTTCAACTGCAACAATAATAGACACAAACCTATGGTAAAATGCTCCAGACTTTATTGCAGAAAATATGACTTCAGTAACAGAGTTGTCAATGCCTGGAATGCACTACCTGACACTGTGGTTTCTTCCCCAAACCCCCCAAAACTTTAACCTTAGACTGTCTACTGTTGACCCACCCCATTCTTAAGAGGTCTTTAAGGAGCGTGCATAAGCGCTCCAGCATGCCTATCATCCCTGTCACAATGTTACCTTGTATTCGTATTCATTTCATGTATTCATAATCATGTCTATACTTATATCTGTTATCTAATTCATACTTGATGAAATAAGTAAGTAAATTAATGAATGAATGAATGAATGAATAAATAAATAAATAAATAAATAATGAGAGTCTTGCTGATGAGGGACATCTTCAAGAGCACCCAAAAAAGATTATTGGCTCCATTATCAGGGCAATATACTCTTCACTTAGCTTTATGATTTCCTATATCACAATTGATTCTCTGCATCTGGGTTCATTTGAGAGCTGTGTATTAATTGTAGCTTTTATCAGCATATTTTCTGTTGATTAGCAGTTCAGCCCTGCTACACAAATCGATGTTTTCACATCAATGCTTTCTGTTAATAGAATACAACTTCATTCTGAGAAAGCTCTGTATGAATGAAAAGCGAAAAATGTTCTCTGACTTTTCCAGGAGGAAAGTAAAACATTTTATAAGCTACACTGGCTTTAATTTAAATTCATTTTGTAAAAAAAAATTTTTTTTTCTTAAAAGACTTCAGATATTATTTTGAAGAGATGAAAGCAAATAACATTCATCCCTTAATTAATTTCATACAAATGTCAGGGTTGTGTTCTGGTGAAGGGGTTGAGCTGGGGTTGATGAGTCCCTGGTTTAAATCCACTCTCCACCTTGGAAATTGACTGGATGATTTGAAGCCTTACCTACAGGATGGTTACAGGGAGAAATAAGAGGATGCAATGCTACATACACCACCTTGAGCTCTTGAGAGAAGGCAAACATAGATCTAACAAATATGTAAATATATAAAATGAATAGAAAATCTATTTACTCTTAATAGATTTTATTTTCTTAAAATGCCCTAGGTGCACTTTTAGATGATTCTCAACTGCTGCAGAGACTGGCTTAAAGTAGTCCTTTAGTTACGCGAGGTCTGACATTTTTGCTGGCTTCTACTGCTATGTTCACCTAATGGCGCTAAACTTGAACAGTGAGGATTTAATTTACCTGCCAACTCTGTGTGTATTCAGAATAGCATTTTGAACTGGCAAAAGTTAAAAGTGTTAAGAATTTAAACCTTCTGTCCCTAAGACTTCCTTCCATAAGTAATTAGAATACCTTATTAAGTAATCCAGTGGCTTGGCAAAATTGGGCTCTGTGCTGCATTTTCGCACCAGCTGTGTTTATGCTGGCAAATGTGTCATGTGGAGCATGAAACTTTGTTTGTAACTAATTTGAGTAAGACTGGTTCACGTATTGGACTAAGCCATGTTGATGGGCAACTTTGTGTGAGATGGACGAAAGAGGGCTGCAGTTATTGTCCATGGACTTTCCCAGTCTTTTCCTGGGGGTGGGTGGAGATTTAACCTTGGAAAGGGGAATGGGAGATCTTTGGGAAGCAAAGTATTCCCATTTCCCCTTCTCCCCCCCCCACTTCCATACCTCCCTAAGTGTCCTGAAAAAATTGTTCTTGAAACTTAGCAGATCAATTGCTAAATGTTGTTGACCCATTTAGAACTATTTGGGGTGGCTGTGAGGGTTTTAAGGGTGAGAAAGAGTACAAAATTGCAGTCATTAATTTAGTTATAAAGTGGTCAAGAATCTGCCTTATTTACAAAGTGGAACTTTGAAGAATGGGGACTAAATCTGCTTTTTCTCCATCCTTCATTGCTTGATGATTGTTTCCCCCTGATCATTCAACTTCCTGTACAGGGTCAGTGTGTGTGTGTGTGTGTGTGTGTGTGCGTGCGCATGTACGTGTGCGCGCGCATGCGCGCACACACACACACACACACATGCGTATGAGGTAAACATTCAAGATGGCAACCGCAACTGCAAGATTGACGTTTCATTCCTCTTTCATGCAGATAACATTAAAAAGTGGGGACACAATTGTGGACACCATCTTGGCTTTTTTACCCTGCCTGTACCCTTCCTATTAGCAGAGCTGATATGAAGGGCAATTTAAACCAGTGGAGCATAGTAAGCCAGGAGAAGGATGTGTTCTGCTCTCACCCTTTGTGGGTTCCATTTATTGATAACAGTATAGCCAACTTTATTTATTTTTATATTTCTTAACTGCCCATCTCCCCCCCCCCTACTACACACCATTGTTAAACTATTAGAAATGATTATGAATATTTTAATGAAGTTTCAAACATCTCTAGTACATAAACTACATTATTTGGTTATGTTCTAGCAACAATAGCAATAGCACTTAAACTTATATACCACTTTACAGTGCTTTGCAGGCCTTTCTTAGCAGTTTACAGAGTCGGCCTATTGGCCCCCCCCCCAACAATCTGGTCCTCATTTTACTCACCTCAGAAGGATGGAAGGCTGAGTCAACTTTGAGCCTGGTGAGATTTGAACTGCCAAATTGCAGGCAGCCAGGAGTCAACTC